ATGATGATGATGATGATGATGATGATGATGATGATGATGATGATGATGAACGACATCTACAATCTTTTGAGCTCGATTTCAACGTGACTCATCAATCCTGAAAGTTCGGATTTCCCCGGAAGCCCTTCGCAATAAGCGCCAGTCAGGAAGTTTTACATTTGCAGCAAGCAGCACTGGAATTGAGCTTTCTTCGCCTGATTTGGTTTGCTTCAGGGCTCCGTCCAACTTAACTGTACGACCGTATGTCGTGAAGGGTGTTCCAGCAGGCTGAAAACGTCACTCGCAACTGAATGATCTATCGAATGATGTAAAGCCAGAGACTGATTCAGCGACACACCGTGACGAGGTAACACCAAGCGCCGCCCCTTACCTTCGAAGCAATTCTCCTGAAGGACAGATAACTTCCAGGTGGACGGAAACCTGGGAACTGCGCCTACCTGATGAGCCCCAAGAAGGGCGAAACCGGTCGTGGGCTGTCGACGGATTTTCAGTAAACTTATGAGTAGTACATTACAAACAATCTCATTCTTCGCATCGTCCATCCAAGTTGCATTCGTTTGACTTCCCTGTTAGACTACCTGTTTCTCATATAGGAACTGGGAACATTACAAAATAAACCATTTCAAAGAAAGGATATTTCGCTGCAGCACTGAGCGACGGTTCTCAGACAGGCCTTTTTGATCCCCCTTCTTGCAACGGCCACTTCTCTACGAGTGACACTTCCGGTGAGACTCGCAAAGTTACCGAAGAGTTCATGGTAATCCCCCTGTGAATACATCTCCCCTTAAGTAGGCCACCAACAGTACACCATCCGGTCTCGTATATGCCGATTATCGGGGTTTCTGTATGTCCGAGGACCACTTTTTGACGGTTGTGCAAAATAACCACTTGCACAAACAAGATACTGAGAAACAATTTTGAAGTCTTCAGACAGGTCGATCTGCAGATTTTCCGAAATAATAACTACTCAATCTATCCCAAGCGTTTTCCAGTGATGTATGCGTGTATAGGTGCAAGTCCTGGACATCCAGGTGGCAGAAAGCATATTGTATCCGGGAGAAACACTCGAGCCAAACTGTTGATTGACATTAGCACTGTCTATAGTCTTCTGAGTGCGTATTCAACTACCACAGTGCCTCACATGTGTAACGATCACCGCGTGATTTTTGAAAAATTTGAAATTCAAATAGACATCATGTGATGTCTGAGCACCAACCCCACAGCCACCACGTCGCGTGAAGGCCCCCAAAACCAGCGGCCATCCGAATCACTTATTCTCTTGAATTTGATGCCGCTATTTAGTATTCTCTTGCGCAGAATAGTTGTTATGCTGATATTTTTGGAATTACAAAGGATCTTCCGGATAAACAAAAACAGTTCTCTTACGTCAGCTTGGTATCTTAAACCATCGCTGGACTTCGTATGGGTTTCGATACCTTGCTTCACACAGATTAGAAACGATCTCGAGGAATAATCTCCCTGAAACGTCTGTCCTATTCCACGTTGTTGTCCGAACCTATTTAGTGTAAACAGTGGGTTGTACGCTAGATTTACACCTCACTTACTGATGAAATTTACGATTTATTTACCGTGTCAAGTCAAACAAACGTGAAATGACGAGAAAGAAGAGCCTGGTTAGGCGAATAAACAAGAAAAACACTGTAGAATGGTTCACATTATTATCGCTTAAGGCGATTCACTCATTCTGTCGAACCGGACAAACGTTTGCTTGTTCAAACATGGTAATTCAGGCGGGTCAATTATCTGAGGGTCCACGGTACTTTCTGCTGTGAAATCCAAAGACTGCAAAACTAGAGTGTCTGTTGGGCCAGACTGAATAGACGCTTTGAGACATATGAAGGGCTGTTGAAACTCGAGTACTGTGGACACAAATGTGCAGGGTGTTGACACGTAAACCTACATTCCTCAGTGGAAAGTTGTGAGAACGATGTGCAGGTTTTCATAAACGAAACTACTCACAAGATTGCTGAAAACTCTTCGAAAGCACACGACCGGTTTCGCCCTTCTTCAGGCTCGTAGGCACATTCCCCGAGTTTTCCTCAACCTTATGATCTACTTGAACCCAAATTGGACTGTTTTCGAGAAATATACTCATTTGCCAATCAATTTGGTTTTCACGAGAGACTCAACTGAATCTCTCGTTTATGATGTTCTACAACTGAATGTGCTGCGATACCTCCAACATCATGCCAACTGAAACATAAGGTGGCCTGTGTGCAGCACATTCAGTTGTAGAATACGGGAAACGAGAAATTCACTTGAGTCTCTCGTGCAAACCAAACTGATTCGCAATTGAGTGTATTTCTCGATGTACAGGTTTTCCTTCAGAGAGCAATTTCGGTAAATAACAGTTCCAGTTCACTAGAGTGGCTGGGACAAACCAGTTAATCTGTGGCAGTGAAGTATCGGTGCTGAACACTGATGTCATGCTGTCGATGGTGATGAGTTCATCTCTGGGATAAAACCGATTCAATTCTAAATTAGACTCTTTACTCCCTTTTCACAGGAAGGGCTCATCCAACAGTGTGAAGTTCCTGTTTGCGTTTAGGGGTAGAGTTTTCATTACCGGTCTTTGTTGTCCAAGATTACCTCTCTTCTGTGTAGACTTTAAAAAACGGTAGAAACCAAAGCGTGGTGTGCCATGCGATATCTCGACTCCCACGCCAACTGGAACATGAAAGGTCCTTGGTACAGCACATTCAGTCGAAGAATATCACTAAGGAAAGTTCACACTACACTCTCTGGTTATTTCCAGCGTAATTTGCACGTGACTATTTGAACAGCCGAGTACAGTTTTGGATTCAGGTAGGGCGTAAGTAAATCGGAACTGTACCCATCTGATGGGGCCGAGTAGGGCGAAAATGGTAGACTGTTGTCGAATAGTTTTCAGTAGATCTCACGTGCGTTAGTCCAAGAGTCTGAGAACATCATAAACGAGGGATTCAGCTGGGTTCCAGGTGAGTCTCACGAAAAACCAAATTAGTTTGCAGATGAGTGTATATTCGCTAATTTCGTGCAATTTGGTTTCAAGTAGAACATGAAGTTGACGGAAACCCGGGGACTGCACCTACCTCCCCCCCCCACCAGTCGTGGCTGTCGACGGAGTTTCAGCAACCTCATGCGTAGTACATGACAAAGCAATACAACTAGTTTAGATGTCAGAAACTTACGATTGTGTCGCAGACCCATTTTGTCAGCCGAGTGCCATTTCTGTCATCGATGGCTCCAATGAGGTTGAGCATTCGATTCCATCCACTCGAGACCGCAGGCAACACCAGGTCGCGTGACATGATCTATGTGATTGAGAAAGGTGAAACCGACCCTACGTCTGACCTTACTGACTTGCTGCCGAAAGGTGTAGTGCTCAAATACTAATTAGAATGTAGTGAGTTCGTAACTTCCCGGATATACACTGTTGACGCTTCGTTCTTGAGCGTAGCCTGACTTCACCCGTGTTCCCACATTCAACCCTTTGTTTGAATGGTTAATTTGTCTCTGGGTTCAACTGATCACTGTGCAAAAGTCCGACATTTTCCGAGCTGAATTATATGGCCTCATGATTGTGGGATTTGACGACAAAACCCTAACCAGCATTTGTTCGATTCCCTCGTTTCTGTCGGCCATATTAATTCCGCTGTTCTAGAATGATTGGTCTGCTAGTAACGGCCGTTTTATCCTTTTGATGATGGCACCGTGGCGTCCATGTGACCTACCCTAGCGCCAAACAAGCGAGCTAAACAAAACAACACAACGGGGTATCTGCGACATCAAATTACTTGGACACATGTTGAACCGGAACTCAACTTGTGTTCCGGCGTTTCTCCTCGTAATCACGGTGGTATGCAAATATTTGTCAGGTGTTTTGTACACTTCAGACTTTCGACAATGCGATGTAATCCTCCTCAATACTTTCACACTGAACAACATTCACAGAACAGTGGCTATCTGGCAGTTCTATACCATCCACAATATCCTTGAACGTTCGCGAAATCGATAGCCCTTGCAGGACCAATGTAAAAGAGCACTCTTGCATGATAGAGGCACTCACCGCAAAGGAATATCATCTAGGGTCTATTGGATTCAACCTGAACGGTCATTACTGCTACACAGATTGCCAAAACCAAAGTGAATTCCCATCTATAGTCCTATTCTTTTTGTATGTACCACACTTTCAGACACTCCCTTAGGCAATTTTCCAGCGTCTCACTGGCCACTCGACAAACACATTGTCCGGGACTAATGAAGCATTATTTAGCCTGTATTCCACGACCACTTGAGAACCACCGAGATTTTTATCGCTTAGTTGACTTTCTACGCGCTAATTTGAGTGGGCGCATGGTCGGCATCACTGCAAACTGGGCTTTAACACTGATCGGTCAACCTTAGAAGCAAATATCGATTGTGTAATTTCTTTGGAAATTAAGTGGTGTGTGATATTTTCATACTCACAAGGTTGCTGAAAACTCTTCGACAGAATATTATAAACGAGATATTAAGTTGAGTCTTTCATGAAAACCAAATTGATTTACAAAATGAGTGTTTTTTTCTGAAAGCAGCCCATTTCAGGTTCAAGTAGAACATAAGGTTGACGGAAACTCGAGGACTGCGCCTACCTGATGATGAGCCCCAAGAAGAGCGAAACCGTTCTTGGGCTGTCGGAGAGTTTTAATCAACCTTGTGAGTAGTTTCCTTCATGGGAATATACTGCGATATCTCGAATATCGTACCAACTGAAACATGAGGCGGCCTGTGTGCAGCACTTTCAGTTGTAGAACATCATAAACGAGAGATCCAGTTGAGTCTTTCATGAAAACCAAATTGATGTGTGATATCCTTCACTCTCACATTTTGAGTAGTACTAATAAAAGAAGTTAGGATTGAAAATTTCAAACAGGTTATGATTCAGGCCTTCTTTTGGTACTTTAATACGTTGGTCAAAGGTGAGAGCTGAAGGCTATTCACCGGACAGTATTCTATCCTGTATTGACTGTCAACCTACGGCATCGAGTCGCACTACTAGGAAGTGGCTAAAGTAGACATTACTTAAGCATTGAGTGGTCCTCATTCAGATGGATTGGCTCGTCTCGACCAAGACCCAAGACCTGTTGGAAGTTAATCAAGTGCCAGTAAGCTACAGAGTCCAAGATGTCCTTAATCGTGGCTTATAATACGCTCAGTGGTTGATTAGTTCCCCCTCCGATTTAACTTTGACCGAGTTTGCCTCATGTCATCAAAGCTGATTCCGTTCGCAGGTTAGCTTTGGGAGTGTCCATGATTTGGTAGTGTCAGTCTCAAAGTACTCACGTTGTTTGTGTTAAAGGTGTAGATCCGGGTGTTTGACTTTGAAGTATTTGTACCTCTTCATAAAGGGAACCTTGTGAATATATACTACGATATCTCGAATATCGTGGCAACTGAAACATGAGGCGGCCTGTGTGCAGCACATTCAGTTGTAGAATATCATAAGCGAGAGATTCAGTTGAGTCTCTCGTGAAAACCAAATTGATTTGCAAATGAGTATATTTGTCGATAGTTGCGCCCCTCGTCTCAAGCGAAAAACCCCTTTTTCCAATAAGTTTTTCAAACGGTTTTGGCATAATACACTACTTATGAGATTGTCGAAAACTCCTGGACCGCCCACCATAGGATTTCATCAAGAAATCGTAATTCCCGAGTTGCCACCAACCTAATGTTCTTCGTGAACACCAAATTGTAGGCAGGTAGCAAATTAAGTTGGTGTTAACAGAAGCCAAAGATTAGTTTTCCGTTTGTGACATTCTTCGGCCAAATTTTTTGTAAAAAGAACGCCTGAGTTTTCACTGCGTTGTCAATGACTTTTCAGCAACCCTGTGAGTAGCGTCTTATTTCAAGAAAATATGCTGTCGCTTCGTGAATATCGCACCAAATGAACAAATCTAACTAAAGGGCATCATCATTTACAGAGCTAACTGTATCGTTAACAACAGTGCGATTTGCCAATGAATGTGTTTTTCCCATCAAACATCCTCTCACAAAATTAGTAGTGTATGAAAAAAGACGGCAGATGAATTGAGCACCTCAATCTTACTGACCATATGGGTACCACGAGTAGTCATCACTTTCCACCCACGCAAAGTCAGTCGCCTCACACAATGAGTTGTTTTGTTGTCATCCAGGGGTGCTCGCCAGGTGTCAGCGCAGACGCAGCTGAATCTAGCAGTGTTCAATCGGGATCACTCAGTCGGAACAAATAAGATGGACACAAATTCTCCGTTTCTCATTATTCCTGATCATTGGACATTTGATATGAATAGGAAACTAACGGGACTGCATGGAATAGAATGTTTGCTTTGAAGGTTGGAAACGATTCCCCGTATGCAAATGACCCCGTGGTTGTCTGTTGTAGCCCGTCTGGGTTGCGCCTGACTTCACCAGACCAACGGTCACAACGAAGATTCTATTGGTGCTGTCACGACATCAAAAACACAAGGTTGCCCCATCGATCGTACAATTGGAATTTGACTAGGGTGTTATTTGGTTTTTAGTCGCACTCTAGTTGTATAATGCCTGCTTGAGTGCACTTAAAGCCTCTGGCACTGCCAAGCATAAAAATGGGTCAACCGGCAACATAAACAGTGACGTTGTGTGTGTGTGTGTGTGTGGAGGGCGGTACAGGCTCAGCCACATTATCCATGACCCTTACATTTCACGGCGCCCGTTCACCCATATTCTATGGGAAGAATGCAAGTGAAGAATGATTTCACATCGAGAAGAAACCCAGCTTTTGTACAGTCAGGTTAATAGCCCGGAGAACGGATGAACTAAGGGGACGGGCTTTCAAGCACTCTGCTGGTGAAATTCACACAATGCATTTTGAATGCAATTTGAAACGAAAAGAGTTGGGTCTTTAAGACAAGGATGCTTGCATTGTTGAGGCCTTGAGGCGCGTACAGTACAGCACCTAAATTCAAACAGGGCTATCGATCGATCTGAATGACTGGTTGGTCTGAACAAAGTAGGAAAGTATGTCAGAATTGTTCTATGCTTAAATCATCACATAAGTTACTACTAGATGATTGTGAATAACGGATAGTGAATACCTGATAGATGGAATTTCAACTAGACAACCACAAGCATGGCCTGATACCGCCTCAACATTTGGCGAGGAAACGCTTCCAAGCCGACTGTCAAGCTCTGCGATCTGATCAAGTACCAATAAAGGTATCGCAGCTAGCCAAGTTTTGATACACTGCTAAACATAAGCGTGCTCTGGATGGGTCGCAACTATCTTCGGAATGCAGGAGAACCGGTAGGTTGGTCAGGTCAGGCGAGAACAATGTGTACTGACTGAAAGGTGTGTAAATACGACGATTAAATGACCGTGCTTCGGCATTGTTATCAATACTTATGTGTTAAATAAACCGCCATGGTTTATTCTCAGCAATTTCTGTTCTACTCATCCTCAGACTTTGGTAGCTCGATTGGCCGTAGAAAAACAGTATTAATTGTTAAGGACGTCCCAGTTGCTTTCAAGGAAAAAGCAGTTTGCAGCCATCGACAACAGCTACTGAAACCAGTCACGTCGAAGAATGGAGACAAGTGGAGACAATGCCGAGTCTGAAAAGTACATTCGTGTTTGGTCACGTCCACCGCGACACGCTCAAGAGGTTGAATAATTATGTTAGGCAGTCTATTCAGGACTGGCCACGTTTACCGATGTACATTCCAACCAGCTATGTTTATGCCATTAAGCTCCATAAGGGACTTGGTAGTCTAAATCCCAACCATCCCGGTACAGCGTGTAAAAAGTTGATGTTACGCAGTACTAAGTACTGGCCAATACCTTCAATGATTCTATATTTGATAGGGTTGTTCGAGATCGCAGCCCTTTGATCCGGCGCCAAGGTGTATGCGTCAACACCAATGAAGAAATGGTATCTGCTCACTGTAGTGATTTGCATAACAGTGCTAACAGTGGCGGATTGCGAGAGTTCATCGATTCGCCGATTTCCAATCGATGGCTTTGACTGCAGAATACGTGTTGTTTGTTCTTTCGCTACCATCTCAACCTTGAGTGCCATCGATTGAGGAGATATTTTCATTTACAAAACGATGGGTGTTTCTGGTTTCCTCAGTCTATCAAGGCTGCTGTAGCAATGAAGCTTCCCAAGGCCACAGTTGATGACAGGTTTTTGTTAACCTTTTGGCTTGTCTGCGCACTTTTGTTAGTAAAACATGGCCTTGAGTGGTCGTTCTTGCAAAAGGTTTACACCTGGTCCAGCGGTGACAAAGAGTATCGACCTTGTTTGTACCTTCTTCATTTGTACTTTCGCGTGGCTTTCGACACCCAACATTCTTACATAGCCCAGGGATCATTTAGGCTGACTAAAAAAGCTATTCGTCGAACTCCTTCAAATGGATGGGTTCTTTAAATGTTCCGCGATTTCTTCCACCTCTGTTACTCACACGTTCATGTTTGTCGTCCAAATTTACACGAATTAAAAACGAGGTTTTGGTAGTAGTACTGAGAATGATACAATGATTAGTTAGCATTTCTCTCCGAAAGCAGCTAATTCAACATTTGCTGAAATAAAAAATAATCGACCTGTAGGTGTTCCCCAGGTTAGCATCTTTGACTACTATCCAAATGTCACTGGTCTTCTAAGCCAGCATTCCCCCATAAGGCCAACAAGCCTGCTGTTGGTGCTGTCGAGATTGCCGGGCCCCAAACTAACGTTTTCCCACTAAGCAACTTCAACCCCACATTGGTCTGGTCGAATGCTGCAAACAGCCAGACAACTGCATTAGTATGTCATATTATTAATCATGTTGTCGATAAAATGAGTAGTGTGTTCTAGATGAGTTAAATTGTAATCGTTAGTTGTCAAGAGGGAGCATACTACTTTTGACGAGTTGGTGACATATCTGTGACTGGCAAGCCTCCAGCATGATAAGGTAGCTTTGCATTTTTACTATTTGATGTGATGTTAAATTAGCGCAAAAATGAGAAGTCTCGAAAGCACTGACAATAACTATACTGCTACGAAACTCGAAGGACACAAAGAGAGGAGAAATCAACCCATTTGAACTATATTTCTGTATGTCCAGAGCGGACAAATGTTCGTTTGCCGAAAGCGTTTGCTCCCAGTGAAGCTCAAAGGTGACAGTTTATCAAGTTTCCCTTGAGAACTGACGATAGACTATGTTAGAGACTTACAGTTGCGCATGTTAGCCGTTGTAGGACGGCACCCTTTGTACCCGTGGTGTTCCTGCAACCATTTCAACTAACCCCCCCTTGCAACCACTTTACTTCAAATGAAGGCTTGGGGTTCCGCATGGATACAAATATAAAACTGTCAACGTGGAGTCCGGAAACTCTCGCTTTAACAGATAGCCTACTTTGGATGCTGAATCGTTCTCCATCCAACGGATACACTGTTTTCACGAGACAGGTCTCGTGAGCTTGCCAGACAGTGGTTTCAAATTTCATAGAAAAATAAATAATTCAATGACGTAGGTAAAGATGGATAGGTACTGTGCCTGTACCATATTGCAAATAGCCGTTTTTATGAAATTTCCAGTGAACGGAGTCATACCAACACATAATTTCAGATCTGATATACACCGGTAGCGTGCATGAGTGCACGCTGGTGGAGTGTAAAGACAAAGAAGCATAAGTTCTAGCCCATTCTGATAAACACTTTCAACGACAAAGGTACCACACTATGCTACCTGGTTTTAATCACAGGTAGCTGATGAGTCCTCGTTTCTATTCGAACTGCTTCCAACTTTCCGAGGTTTGAAAAGCAATATGACTAATCTCTGATACTAACGGCAAAGTTATTGTGTCTTATATCTTGGATCACCTATCAAAAGAAATTTCGGATGGAGGGCCACAACAGGTTTACAAGTAGGCCATTTCGTCCACACATTAGTCAAATTATTTCAGCACGCTTTTTGTGAATCCATGTACCGTTAAACAACTGTGTCATTTTATAGGTTCAAGGCAAAGAACAAATAGTAGTTCTGAAAAATGACTCACGTGTTCTCCAACTTTTCTAAACACTACGGTCATCAGGTAAAAGGGATTTTTGAGAGTGAGGCTCGCCAACATTTACGAATAATCATCAGATCTCCTTGCATTATTATGAGACGATGATCAACTCAGGGGAGGGATCATTTCACTAGACTGCGGAACTTTCCTCTGAGAATTCGTCACTCGAGGGGCCAGTCAACACGAGACCACGTGACGTGGCTTCGGCACTCGAAGAATGAGTGGTGCTGTGACCTTTCTTAGTGAGGACCAATCACACGGCTGATCAGCCAGTTTTGGTTAAACAGCTAAGTAATCAACCAAGACCGCGAGTCCGAAACTCTGAGTTCCGTGAGATGCGCACTGCTGGTGATTCCTGACGAGGATGAAACAACCGTACTGTGCTTCTCGGCTTTTCAGCCTCCTGTCAGCTCCACTAACAAGATAGAATTTTCTGGTAAAAAGAAGTCGCTAATTTTTAGTACATCCGGAAATTATGTGGATCACAAACTTTCATAATCATTTTCTTTCCGATTTCTCGGCTTTTCAGCCTCCTGTCAGCCTCACTAACAGGAGTGAATTTTCTGGTAAAAAGAAGTCTTTAATTTTTAGTGCATCTGTAAATTATGTGGATCACAAACTTTCATAGTCATTTTCTTTCCGGTCTTTTCATTTCGTCAATTTGCATATCCAAAATTTGTGCCTTATGGGTTGATGCCAAACTAGTCTTGAGCAAAGAAGGCACTCCACAAAACTCACACGGTTATGTTAGCGAGTCAACTAAAACTGCCGCGTCTTCAGAGGTTCATGATTGTCAGAGAAGAATTCTCCCTCGCTAATTTTTATTACATCCGGAAATTATGTGGATCACAAACTTTCATAATCATTTTCTTTCCGGTCTTTTCATTTCGTCAATTTGCATATCCAGAATGTGTGCCTCATGGGTTGATGCCAAACAAGTCTTGAGCAAACAAAGCCTCCGCAACACTCACACGGTTACGTTAGTTAGTTAACTGAAACTGCCGCGTGTTCAGAGGTTCATGATTGTCAGAGAAGAATTCTCCCCACTAGGCTTTGCTTATCATTCCCGTTAAGCCAGTTGGATTCGGAAACATAATTGATTGGAAATACCCGGGATATTTCTGGCGCACCAGCACTCAAGTATTGATTAGTTCTACGCATTTAAATCGGGCAGACGTCGTGGTAATTTCTACAATAGCTTAGCATGAACCACTGAAACAACTCCATCATTAGTATGAGGTGTAAGTGTCTGAATTTCTCTAGTTTCATTTAACTTTAAGAAAAAACCGGTTATGTGGAAAGTGGAGTGAAAACATCTAGTGTGTGAAGTGGACCAGAAGTCATTGATCCAATCGATTGCCCAAAGCATATCAACTTCAAGCTTTTGGAAAGATTTAAATTTCTGGGGAAGTACACTCATTTCACGAGGGACTCAAGTGAATCTCTCATTTATTATTTTTTGCAAATATACTGCGATATCTCGAATATCGTGCCACCTGAAACATGAGGCGGCCTATGTGCAGCACATGCAGTTGTAGAACATCATAAAAGAGAGATTCAAATGAGTCTCTCGTGAAAACCAAAATGAATTGCAAACGAGTGTATTTTTCGAGAACAGTCCAATTGGTTTCAAGTAGAACATAAGGTTGATGGAACCTCGGGAATTGCGCTCATCTGGTGAGCCCCAAGAAGGGCGAAACCGGTCGTGGGCTGTCGAAGAGTTTTCAGCAACCTTGTGAGTAGTTTCCTTTATGAATCTAAATTTCTGATTCCTACGGGTGTTCTAAAGCTGTCGCTGAACTTTGAGAACAGTGGCTCACTTGTCTGCCAAAGCATGACCACACGTGCAAGTTCGGATATGTCCAGGGCCAAACATACGTTCTACTTATGAGTAAGAGGGGAACGCGAGTCCAGTGCTTGAACTCACAAGAATAATTGTACCAGGAGTGGATGAAGATTCTTCAAAGAAAAGTAAAATGGATGTGAATGATACGTTCGTTATGTTTCTTATGCCTGAAAGCTAAGTACAGCGAGTGGTTTTTTAATGCAAGAACCTGAATCCACGGCAAAGATAAAGTCAGTGACTGTCAGCTAGTTGATCCCAGTTCTGAATGTGACGTTGGTTTAGAGGTGTTTGTTTCAGCTCGTCCAGCGTTCTGGTTGCAGTCCATGGAACATGGTATACCGGTGTTGCGTTGATCAACCTGAGAGTAGTGTGAGATGATATCCACAAGAAGTCATTTTTACTTCCACGACCTGAGGTGTAAGTGTTGGCACCTATATTCTTCAAGATTCAGATCCGCAAATGAAAAACTATTGCCAAAGAAAATGGAAATTGGCGAGAATACTCAGAGGTTGAAAAATTTAAGAGTTTCAGTTTGGGTTTCCAAATGGACAGTCTATGAGAAAATCTTCTATAAAATGAGTGTCAACATCATCCTGACAGAGTACACTGTTCATAATGTTGCTGGAAACTCTTCGACATCACGCACGACAAACTCCAACTTTCTCGCTGCTCCTCAGTCTCCGTGATTTCTTCTACCTTATGTCCTGATAGAACACCAAACTGTGAACAGTTCGTGAGCTTCACTAATTTGAAGCTTGCTTTGACTTTAAGGTTGATACAACTGAATCGCTTTTTCAGGGAATGCTTCCACTCCGTGAGTCCAACAAGGGTAAAATCGGTCGTGGACAACTGAAACGTTTTCAGCCACCATCTGAGTAGTTTGTTTCGTCAACTAAAACATGACGTGTTACCTAGAACATTGTACCCACCGAAGCATGAGGCGGTCATTTTAGGGCAAATTCAGTTGAACAGTATCGTGGATGAGAAATTCAGTTGAGTCTTTTGTTAAAACCATAAAAGTTTTCAAATGATAAAATTTCGTCACACTAGATGATGTTTTTTATTCCTCGCCCATGTTTTGGTTATCCTAATGCAGTACATTCGCATAACCTCGTGAGAATACCAGGAGATGCAGGATTAGGTCGAAGGCTTGAGAATCATGAACGGATATACTGTTGAGACTAAGTGATGTAGACTCCTTATTCGTAATACAAAATTTTGTCATGCACTGAGTGGAGATCAAAACTAATGCGTGCTTGTAGGATTGGTGGACTGACTTTGACATGCATATTCCTGCGTGGATGGTGGACTTGTGAGCTTATATATTTCGGACCGAAGGGTGCCCACAACACACAGTCCCCACTTTAGGTTCAGAAAGGGTAAAACTTTGCGTAGGCACTAGTACATCTCTGTATTATCCAGTCGCGTTCATACTAAAATTGCCGAATATTCTTGTCTTGAAGAAAAAGAGAGATCTTTCCGCTGTATAATTAGTACTATCCAACTCCGCTGACCGGTTAGTAACCTGGGTTTTTCCAGCATCTGGAGCAAATCTACCGTTGGCATTCGTCAACCCACTGACCAATCATACGCTCATGTTTGATTTAGCCAATCATTGACAAAACACAACTGGCTATTGATTGTTCTATCTCTACGCTATCCTGACTTGGAGCTATGGTAATCTAACATTGAAATACTTCAAAACACTAACTGCAATGCATAGTGCAATGTAGATATTACGCATACGTTGGCTGTCAACTAAAAACATGTTTTGCTTATACTACCGTAAGCATTCTTCTAACCTACCTTCTCCATAACCGCTCTCGCAGTCTTGGTTTCGGAAAAATTCTTCAAGCACCCAGTGCACTATCCTCTCCAACATCGTCTTCAGCCTCTTCGAACCGCGTCAAAAGCCGACCGACAAATCGCGCGACCGAAAAATTAGTTCAAAAATCAACTCAAACTGTGCTGTCCAACGGTGGAAAAACTTCAAAAAAGAAAGTTCTATCGCCGTGTTTGGATTCACCGACAAAGTTTGGAAACTCGCCGGTCGTACAGAAGAGACCCCCGATTAATTTTGTGCAAAATGAAAGGTGTGCGGCATTCCCCTCGCCAGCCACCTCGCCACTTGGTGGGACTGTGAACACCGACTGGAACGAGAGTGAGTATTTTGAATACGCAATTATGATCAATGAGTGATTTTTTGATCTGATTCAATGCTCTAATGACAATCACAATGGCTAGGAATGATCAGTATCACAGATACGAGTTACTCCGGATGAAGTGTAAAAAAGAATAGTAGTAGCATCAATCGATATTTCTACGTGTCTGTAATATGGACCGTGAAATCAATAATTGGTGATGAATTAACCAAGGTAGTTACTCTGACATTTTAACGTTCTTTGCTTTGAAACTACCGGAAACAAACAACTCACACAAGAATTATTTTGGTTGCCAACTGTGTAAGGAGCACATATTCGTGTAAACGAGAAAAAAAAACAGGGGAAAACTGCGAAATACTCTGATTTGCTCATTAATTTGGTTTTGACAGTGGACTCCGCTGGATCTAGTTGAATCTCTCGTTCATGAGAAAAAAAGAAAATCTGCGAAATACTCTGATTTGCTCATTAATTTGGTTTTGACAGTGGACTCCGCTGGATCTAGTTGAATCTCTCGTTCATGAGAAAACATTGGAAAAGAACTGCGCTCATCTGATGAACTCCAAGAAGAGCAAAAACGGTTGTGGGCTGCGGAAGCGTTTCCAGCGACCTCATGAGTAGCTTATGGGTTACTTCTGGATACCAGACATTCTGGTGTTTGATAACAAAGGTGTCAAAACCAATATGTTGGACAGACTCGCCTTTCACTTTTCCTGTTTGGATGTTTTGCTTAATTTCAGGTTTCCAAGAGGATGAATAACTGTACGTCCAACTGAGACATTTAAGGCCATAAAGCCAGACTGACAGGTAGGAATAAATTCCATAAACTTGACACACTACTAACAGGGCTACATGAGCAGTGTTTTACCGTGACATCTGAAGTATCACAAGGCAGCATTTATAAACCATATTCAGTTGAAGGATATCATAAACGAAAGATTCTGCTGGACTCAGTTGAGTCTGCAGTTAATGCCTGATTTGTGTTTGACTGAGAGTGTGTGTTCATTGAAAATGTTTGCCCTACGTGGATGAGCAAGTTCCCAGCGTTTACTTTAATTCCGTGGTTTTATGTTACAACTTGCGAGTAAAATCAGCTCATTTACTGAAGAACCGAGTAGTATTTCTCAGTCGGCAGGCTTCATCTCGCTAAACGCTTGATCGATCATACCCGGAAACCTATCAGTTGGGAGATGGGCACTACCGGAAGCGGTTGAGATGTGACCATATAGTGTGAATCCTGTGACTGAAAACTGGTGACGCCAGGTGCTGTCTAAGTGCTGGTTAACGACACTGGTGATTAGCCACTTGTGACAGAATGATAAAGGTTTCACTTACGGACAGGTAAGTCAAGAGTCCGACTCACCTTGAACGCTATTCAACATAGATGACTTGACTTCGTCAGACGTTAATTTAGTGCTTACACTTGTCTTTCCACCCACAAGAAATAATTTCATCAGCTCGATCGGATTTCCACCAGAATCTTCCAAACCGATTGCATAGCTTCTGGAGAAGTCAGGCAGGAAGAAGGGGAAGACTAGATCGCAAATTCTGGGGGGGAGTTAGCCTGTGATGACCGAGTCGAATACCTGTCAGTTTAACCATTTCTCTGATCTCTGTGCTAAGTCAAGTGTTTCGTTTGAATGGCTGATAATTATGATATATATATATATACCCAGTGACTGCTTGAACGCCGAATATGGAAACCGACGCTAACTTGGAAAAAAGTTAGTGACCGAGGATATGGAAGGACATTGCTGGAATCTGTCTAATGAATGGTCTCAGAAAGGGCGTGAACCAGAGAAAATTCAGTTTATATAACTATGATAAGCATAAAAAATTATAAGGTTAGTCAAAATGTGGACTTTTATATCCAAGAACTTTATGCACGCAATTGAATGTCAAGCGATTCCCTTCCGAGCAAGCGAATGAATACATCTTCACCGTCATTTAGATGAAATAACTGGTACCCTCTTTATGCTGGTGAGAGATATTCATGACTAGAAAAACGGATAAACAACAGACATTTCAAAAGTAACTGAGGGCAGGATACAGTTCTGCGACGTGGACTTTTATCTCGGACAAACACAAATCGTGTCTGGAAATAACTTTTAGATAACCACCCAACCACGTGATCAGTCTAGTCCCGAATTAATTGGATAGCAGTATTTTATTACAAAAATTGCCCGCGGATTTCACTGAATTTTGCGCCCTTTCCGTCTCATCGAATTGATATCCCTGTAGGTGGCTGAACGACTCGGATCCAATGGCTTTTTGTAACCCGTATGGAGCACAGTAGGCATCCGTATTACATTTTTTGTCGAACATCTTTGGGGGTACAACCAGCTCCCTCAGGGTCATTTAGGCCAGAGTTGAAACATAAAAGTTGTGGTAACTCAAATGCACAAGGTTTCTTGTACGACGTATCGGTGGCTCACGAACATATGGCCAGTGAGCATCCATCCAGCAGCATATTGAACTTCACAACTCCAACCTCGACGTGCCAGGTAAGCCAGAGAGAGGATTTTATCAATCGGGCACATCGATCAAGAATTTCTTTGGAGCGCTTGAGAGTTTTTTAAGAATAGAGGGTAAATGTGAGGAGCGTAGCACGAGATGGATTAGTCAACCGTTATGATCTTGCGAAGTTTCACCTATGAATTGCATGAATTGATGTGGATTGGATTGGGTTTGAACGCTCCTGACAGTTGAAATAAAAAAGTACTTAGTTAAAGAGCCAATTAAAAATAGGGTGTTGTTATGAAAGTCATTTTTGGTCAGAGGATCATCCCAAGTATCGCATGGATTTTTCACAGCCTTTGTTCGTGTTTTGACACCAGCAGGGGAAAAGTTCAAAAAAAAGGCGATCCCGAAGGACGTGGCCAGAACCGCCTGGACTACTTGTTAAGTGAATTTTGAATGGAAGCAAACTTGTGTCGACCTGGTTTGTGAATTCGAAATGACGTCTTCACGTGTGTTGGGTAAACCTGAACTCATTGGTGCAGCGACTACACTGGTTGAACCAGGAAGTCGTGACAAGTCAAAGCTATTGAAGTACTGATGTGTTTTTTCAACTGAAGCTCGTTTCTTCAAAGAGCCACCCAGCTAGCTGTTTACCAAGGGTCAAGCATCAGTCAATTGATTAACGTATCTTGTCCTGTTACATAACTACCCCGATTGATCTTTGAGACAAAACGGTTAACTTTAAATGGGTTTCTTGTTACCTTGGAGATAGGCATGCATAAATGAGCGTTATTCCATTTAGCTGGTTCATCCAAAACCCCCCTGTGACCAGGTAATGCCATAGTGCCGAGGAAGACTGCCGTCTTTGAGGCATCAAAAAATTGGTTCACCAATCGATCATATCCACTCAAATGGCCAAGGGTTCTCTTGTCTTGCCATTTTATTGACCTTTTCCGTCTTACGACACGTATTGAAAAGAAGAAGGCCTTCTCAGTGGAGTTGTTAACTAGAGAAACACCAACTGGACGGCTACAGACTGTTGGACAGGGGAGCAAAACTTTCATATGCATCTTGTTTGCAAAACTGAATATCCATCTTCTCCTTGATCNATGAAGAACTTGTTTCGCTCTTCGTATATTTATTGACTGCTACTCAAATGCAAGCAAATGCTACAAAGCGACTCCACAAATTCCGTAATAGATCCCACTTTTCAAGAGACGTGAAGCAGATTTACGAGAAGGCACTACTCGCATGCCTCATCAGTAGTATCCACTGTTACAGTGGTAGCGATGTAAGGCGGAAGTTTGTCACCTGTTTTGTCGAGTTTTACAGTCCGAATCCTCCGGGCATTGATAACCGAATCCGACCACCCGAATTTCCTGAGCTGACTATCTGAAGAGGTTAACTGAAAGATCCTGAGTGAATATCTATCATTTTTGCATTGCCGTCTTTCCAGAAACATGAGGTCACAGGTGTTTCTTTGCCCTCGAATCCCCATTGACTTAGTGACGCATTTGAGTAAGCCGGGTTTTTGAAATGTCCGAATTAGTACAACTTCATGAGAAATTGCGCACTATCTTGCTGCACTATGACCTCTACAGGAAAAGTTTTAATTGGCCAAGAAACATGGAACCTAGTTTGGAAAGTTCGATATAACGGACACACGACATCAGTCCTCAATCAAAGTGGTCAAGTAAAGGCCATAAACAGAAGCTTCTTGAAATTCCCTTGACTGCCCATCTTATCAGATTGTTCTACATTGTTGAGGATTGCTTTGGGTGTGGTCTCAAGGTAGATAGTCTGTAGATAGTCTGCTTTTGTCCGATTAGTCCTACGTTGTTCCACACTTAGCGCAATTTTAAGTACGGCGTTCCTGTCTGAACCGTATGCTTCGCGGAGACTGACTTTGCACGGGGAGAAAAACTGTCCTCGCTTGAAAATACGTGCACGGGAGAGTTATGAAGTATTTCCTGATGTGTATGAGCAACGTTCATGAAACGAAGAAACGACTGCACCAGTAGATTCAGAGGCAACACATTCAGGCAATGATGTGGTACTTTAATAAAAGTCTGTTGAAGTGCGTGATACCAAAAGATCAATAACTGCCGACGCCCAAAAGCTTTGAGCTCTGAGGCAGCTCGCTCGATGAGATGTCTAGACAATCTGATGAACGGTACATATCGCGTAATGTCTACAGAAAAAAAAGGCGAGAAAATGCTGAACCACGGATACATTATCGGATAAAACGTCTGATCTGAAGAACTTGTTGCACGTGATGATAACATGTGTTCCCTCTTGCGTTTTCTACGGAGCAGTACTACTCAAAGAGTTATATGTACATACTAGGCTGTGTATGTCGGCAATTTAATCAACCTGAACTGCTGCCAAACATTCGCTATGTTACTGACTACATGACAGTAACATAGGAAGATTTGCTCAGTGTTAGCAGCTACGGTTGCTCAGTTCTACCGTATATAGTGGACATTCACTCAATAGTGAACAGTATTCCGAAACGTTTGAAATAAGATCAACTAAAAAAGCATCACTCAGTGCACATTACTAATCAGTACTACTCATTACTAGTGCTCATTACTACTAGTCTGCACATAAGGTCAGCTGTCCTGCCTACATGGCTGAAAAACCGCAAATCATTTGGTTAACTGAACGTGGGTGTTTGTTCTGATCCACTCCGGCCAGCTTCGATTTTAAAGTGTTCTTTTTGAACGGACTGCAAAACAATGATGCGGACCAGGATGACCTCAAGTGTGTGTAACAAGCAGAGAAGCCTTTTTTCTCTGAGGTGACAAGAATGGCAGTGGAGTGCTTGGCAGTTTGGCCTTAGGCTCTTCCTATTCGAAGCTGAAAACCTTAATAAGCGGTCTCTTTTGAAAGTAACCGATGAAAGACTCAAACCGGCGAGGTTTACTGCTTGTTGTATCTCTTAACCTTCCCTGATGCTGACGGGGACCATATTTGGTGGTCGATCTGTTCTCAATCAACCGGTGTGTCTCTGCACGCCCAAACCGGTTCTCCCGCCATCGGTTCCCATGTCACGTTTAGTCATAGATGGCCGTCTGTGCGCTTGAGTACGGAGGGTGTACATGTTTCCTTGGCCATCAGATGGACGTGAAACGCATGGATACTTTTTTGACCTTGCTCCGGCGCATGGTAAAATCGAACGTGAGTAAGACGTGTGGGCATATTCGTACGGCATCAATTGACCACGTGATTGTTCCGCTGCGCAGTAAGCTGATGTGCGGCCGTATCACTGCCCTACCGATTTGTTTTCATCGGGGGGGGGGGGGGGAAATTAATCTTTTAAAAATAAAATTTTCAA